CCACCAAAATAAAAGAACACACACTGAAGACTTACTTTGCTTTAAGTGTTTCCTCTTGGAAATTCCACTGAGGATCTTCCACTAGCTGCAGTTCTCGTAAAACACTCCCTGGCTTGTAAGCTGCATTGATCACCATGCTGAGAACCTATTGAGAGACAAAACCAACAGCATTGGTGGGTTTAAAAGTAGTCCTTGACCACACTGAATATGGTCCCAGGTGCTGCATAGGCAGGAGGAGCTTACAGGTGCCTTTTTATGTCCAAGGCTGCACAAGTTAAGTGCTAGATCATAGAATCATAGAATTTTAGGGGTTGGAATGGACCTTACAGATCATCTAGCCCCAACCCCCTGCCCCGGGCAGGGACACCTCCCACCAGAGCAGGTTGCTCAAGGCTTCATCCAGCCTGGTTTTGAACACTGCCAGGGTTGGGGCTTCTACTACCTCCCTGGGCAACCTGTGCCAGTGTCTCACCAACCTCACAGGAAAAACTTCTTCCTAATATCTAGCCTAAATTTCCCCTCCTTCAACTTGAACTCATTACCCCTTGTCCTATCACTGCAGTTCCTAACAAAACGTCTCTCTGCAGCTTCCCTGTAGCCCCTTCAGATACTGAAAGGCTACTATGAGGTCTCCACACAACCTTCTCTTCTCCAGGCTGAACAGCCCCACCTCCCTCAGCCTGTCCTCACAGGGGAGATGCTCCAGACCTCTTAGCACCTTCATGGCCTCCTCAGGACTTACAAGTAGAAGTCCCAGAGTGGATCAATGTGCCATACTGTAAATGACACCTGAGTGTGTTGTGGTAATTGCATTAAATGCTTCTTGCTAACCCCCAAAATCTCCTGCTAATCACTAATTTGGACTTTGAGACAGACCCTCTCACCCAAAGTAGACTTAATTCGCTGCATCCACAGTGGCTCAATTTAATCAAAAAATGAAACTACTTCTGAAGGCACAACCAGGTCATGCGAACCATTACTGAAGGGGAAATTCACACACACTTAAGGTCAGCAATATTCTTAAGCACCTGAGTGCTGTGTGCCTTGACTGTATTACCAGAATATTAATGAAGTCTCCACAAAAAGAGTTTGCAGGAGGTGTGCCTGAAAGCCAGTGTGTGTCCACTCTGTACAACAAAACACATGTGCCAAGCCATTCAATCCAAAATCACTGGGAATAAAAATGATTCCTACTATTAGCTGAGGGAATCTAAGCTTTAATAGTCTACACTTGGCCTAGGGAGATAAACACAAGAAAAACAAATCTCTTCACAGCACCAGACCGTGTGTTTGAACACTCTGCATTGTATGCACATGAATGACCTCACAGTGAGGCTGCACTGGGTTTGATCTAATTTAGCTCTTTACCTAACGCTTGGTCTTAATTCTTTGGGGGCCTGCAAATGATTCCAGTATGATGAGCATTAAGTTTCCCCAGCACCCATGAAACATAGTTCATCAGACATGAACAAATAACTAGGTCATACTGCAAAGACCAATGTGTTTATGTTTGGTGGGGTGGTTTTTTTTCTGCGCTGTTTTTCTTTTCTCTTTCAATCCAGCAACCTGAGGACTTGCTAGCATTTTGAAAACCTGGTAGAATTAATCATTTACAGGCAAGGGCTTCACTTAATGCTGCATAGGACTATGTAAAACAGCATCAGTTTGAGTTATTGCCTAGGTTATGCATTAAAAGTAAAATTTGATTTATTATTGGGCCCTTGGAAACATTACTCAAACCACTCTTCAAAAAGTCCAATTAGAGACACCAAAAGTCATGCCTACTAATAGCAGCAACATCTTATGCAGCTCTGATAATCTGTACATTTCAGGGCACTCTCTGAGGAAGGGCAGTAACACGCTCCTTACCTCACACACAAACATCTACCTACAGCTCTCCAGCTGATTCCCAGCCCATCAGAAAATCACTGTACTAGTTACTGAGCCACACTTATTCCATGACAATGGTTGATGAAAATTTCATTGGGGGAGCTTGACATGACCCAGCAATGTGCCCTGGCAGCCCTGGAAGTCAGCTGTGTCCTGGGCTGCATTCCCAGCAGTGTGGCCAGCAGAGTGTGGGAGGGGATTCTAACCCTCTGCACCACTCTCATGAGACCTCACCTGCAGCTCTGGGACCTCCAACATAAGGAAGATGTGGACCTGTTGAAGTTAGTCCCAAGGAGGCCACAAAGATGCTCCAAGGGCTGGAACATCTCTGCTATGGAGACAGGCTGAGAGAGTTGGGGGTGTTCAGCCTGGAGAAGAAAAGGCTCCTGGAAGACCTTAGAGCACCTCTGAGTACCTAAAGGAGCTCCAAGAAAGCTGGAGAGGGACTTTGGAGAAGGGCCTGGACTGACAG